CTCTCTCTCTCTCTCTCTCTCTCTCTCTCTCTCTCTCTCTCACACACACACACACACACACACACACACACACGATCCCCACTCTATACCACAAATTTTCACCTTTTCTCCATCCTCTCCCAGGGTTTTTACTGACTCCTATGGAAGGTGTAGCTTCTGGCAGAGAGAAAAGAAACAGGTGAAAGATGAAGGTGTAGGAAGAAGGGAAAACACACCCTGGAGAAGAGTGAAGGGAAATGCATCTTTTCTGACCTTACTTCCAGGGAGAGCTTCCACAGCTTGGTAACCTACCTGGAGTGGACTTGCCAGGCGCAGTGGTTTGGCTCGACATCACATGAGTGTTGCCTGAAAAAGAAATCCATGCAATCCGCACAAAGAAACATTTGTGATGAAATAATTTCAACATAAAATCAGTGTATGTTTCTGGGGCTGAAACATGCAGCAGAACTTCTGCTCATGCTAAGCACTTTGTCTACTTGGTGGTTCAATGAGCAGCGTGTCCTTCCATTGTCCTTTCTGTTCCTGAATTAGATCAAGTATCTTCCCCATGTATTGATCTCTCACTTCATTTATTAAACAGGTATTGAGCCCTGTTTAGTACAAGCAATCAGTGAACAGTATCATGGAAGACTTTTCTATAGAAGCTTGTCTTAGGGTAGGCGTGCTCAGTGAATACAAAAACTCCTCAAATGGAAGACACAGAAGTTTATAAAAATCTTACCTTCAGTGACTTGTGTATTTGATGCACCAGATGTGGTTCCTGGTGGTTCAAAGTAAGAAAGTGATTCAAGTAGGATTTGACCTTTGTTCAATCACTCAGGCAACGGTCAGGGAGATAGCTCAGTAGAATAAATGCTTGCCTGGCAAGCGCAAGAGCCTGAGTTCAATCCCCAGTTCCGCAAAAACAAACAAACAAAAAACCCCAAAGACAAATCACTCAGGCAACCATTAAGCAACATTTTAATATTTATAGCTCAAGAAAGAGGTAAAATGGGACGGGCAAATAATTTCTTATTTCATTTGAGGTCTTCTGTTTACATGAGAATAGGCTTTCTGTGCCAGTCTACACTCTGGTTGCTAACATCTGTAATATATAACAGGTTAATATCTATGGAACTACTACTTCTACCATCTCCAGGCATCTAAACCAACAGTCCAGACCTCAGAAGAGGCTGGGCCAGAGACCTCTCAGGAGTGTGTGTGTGACAACAAGTTGGCTACTTGGGGTCATGGGCAGGTGCACCAGCTCTTCCTACACTACGATCTTTTAGATCCAGAGGAAACTCATGATGGGAGTGCTAACATCTGGTTGCTGATTTCATCACAGTGGCTCTGATGGTCCTAAGCAAGCTTTGGGCTCTAAAAGAGGAAATAAGGAATGTGGGAAATCCTTCAGGGCTGCCTATTCCTTCTTGAGGTTAAATAAGGGTGACTGCCTTTGAAAGTACTCATTTACCTGTAATGGAACTTCCAGGTTCAACAGTCGTTCCAGAGACCACTCCTTGGGTACCTAGAACGACAAGAAGGAAAGGATTGACATCATTTCCTTTGTGTTAACACTTGAAAAGAGAACCAGACACTTGCTCTGACTCATAGAAGAGCTATTTTAGCATTCTTCATATACTTTTCCATGAGTATATTTTTCCAAAGTTGATAAACCAGAAAGGCTAAGCTCTCAGAAGTCTCCTTGTCCTGGATTTGGGTAAGTATCAGGGACATATTTGTATTATTTCATGTTTACTTATTTGCCTGTCAGAGACTTGGCTCCTTGTTGTACTGGTCTTGGCTCCAAAAGAAAAAAGAATATTTTGCTATACAGAAATGTAAGCTCTGATATCTGGAGTTTGGGGGAATGACAAAGACTTCCACAGGCAAAAGGTATTGATATTCTAAATAGGTATCGATCACCTTGAAGCCAGAAAAGTCACTGACCCAACTCCTTACAGTAAAAGCCCCTGTTCTGTATTCATGCCCACTTGCTATGTGACTTGATTCCCCATTTCATTCTGGATTTAATCAATTTTACCTGAGCAATTGTGCTTGTAATCTTGTTGGTTGACCATACTTTTGTCCCACCTCATGCTCACCTAGTGCGGTCTCTCCCACGTTTTCCACCTTTAGACTCAGCTCACCTCATGGTTTTTCTCTATAAAAATCCCCAGAAAAGCCAAGATTCTGGGGTAACTCATTTGGGTCCCCTTTCTGTCCTTCTCTTGGACAGGAGCTTTCTTTCCCCAAATATATTCTACTCTTAACCTCTGTTGTTCCTAAAATTCATTCTCTGGTTTTAGAAACCATGAACTCTTCCAGGGTGTATTTCAGAGTGGGACTTTCATTTTCCTATATCATTACTGTTTCACTGATTGCTGAGAAAGTTAAAGCCTCTGAAAAAGGGGTGAAAAATGGTGAGGGTATGAGAGGTTTGCCAGGGAGACAACTGCTTTAGTGTCCTTCCCAGCTTGTTGATTGACTCAAGTTGATGTCCTCAGGGGCAGCTTTCCTTGAAATATTACAGCCTCAGAAGCAAATAGAAAAACTCCTCTCCACTTTAGAGAAAAGCTCTATAATGTCAATGTGAATAATTAGTTAATGAAAATTATACCAAAATAAAAACTTACTTTAAAGCTCCACAACAATAAATAATTCAGAGCAGAAGTATGAGCAAGTGAAGATTTGGGGGTTTTCATTATTTATTGTTGGGGTCTGATAGCTAATTGATAGCTTATTAGAGGAAATGGAGCCTATAAATAATTCTTCAAAATCGTGGCTTTTAAAAGGCAAACCAAAATGAACTCCTTATCAAGAGAGATGAGCCAAGATGAAGCCATTATATCAGGTAGCATAATTTAAAATGTATCACCTATTTGTTGGGGACCAGGCTATGGCATAGACTACGAGGGGCCCCAACTATGTGATTTAAGAAACAACCCCCCCCCCACACACACACACCAGAGATCGCTGTGTGACTCTGCTTCCTGGCTTCCTGGCTTCAGGAAGGAGGAGTATGTGGAAGGCCACATGCCTCCTGGCTCGGGGCAGAATGCTAGCACCCACTCCTAAGGCAGGATAGCATCCGCTTGAGGGTAATTGTCAAAACACAGGCCTTTGGGTTCAGAGAAAAACAGCTTCCTCATTAAACCAATGTCTACCCACCCACTTCCATGGTTACTGTTCCAGAAAATGAAAGGAGTCCTTTCCCGCCCCCGAACTTCTTGCTAGCCAATAAAAGCCACCCAACCATGGAGATAGGCAGAGGCAAACTCCTCCTGTTCCCCCTTTCACCCAGAAATCTGCATCTTTCTCTGTCTTTATTATTCTCCATCATAGCTCCCCCTAAAGGTGTTCAAGGGTCTGATCAACCTTCAGTATACATGAAGGCAGAGAAGCTGTTCTCATAGCCAAGTGACAGAAACATTGGACAAACTAGTTAAATCACCTAAGAATTGAGAATGAAAAATGTCAGCTCAAAATGAATCTTAATTATATTAAGATTGTCCTTATATTCCTTATATTCCTTACTTTGAATAAACTTTTTAATAAAAAATACTATGAAATTTAGGTTAGATATACTGATTATATATATATATATATATATATATACACACACACACATATATATATGTATTTGGTACAGGGTCTCACTATGCAGCTCAGACTCTTAGTGATCCTCCTGTCCCAGCATCCCCAGCACTGGGATTACAAGTGTACGCCACCACACTTGGTCTCAGTGGCCGCCCCAGAGTGCCTAGGGGTGGGGCCAGTGCAGCATGTGGTGCCGGGGGATTGAACCCAAGTCCCTGTGCCTGCCTAAGCAGGCACTTAGACTGCTGAGCTAACTTGCCAGCCCCTGATTACTCTCATCACTGTTTTTGATCAGGTGATAGACTTTCCAGGTAAGAGTTTTGCCTGTGGCTACTGAAAGTCTGGGGCCCAGCCTGACACCCCCTAGCCCCCAGCCTGATGGCCAGCAGAAGCACTGCCCTCTGCAGAAACTCAGCTTAGCCCATGAGGCTGCCATCCACAAACACAAGACAGGAGATATGCACACAAGGAATTCTGTAGGACCTGTTAATTGCATCCCCCTAGGTTACAAGGCTGCCCAAAAGCTTGAACCACAGGTGTTTGTTAAACCTTCCCCTTTTCCTCTTTGCATCCTGAGAGTGTTGGGCAGATAGCTTTGTCACTCTCTGCCTACCTACTCCTAGGTAATTAAACATACACCCAGTTGTTTCCACAAAAGCCTGTTTCATGGAGCTACCATACTGAATTTGTAATAAGTGAGTGACAGGAATCAATATGTCAATTCTTTACCCACCACTAGAAGAAAACGGCTTCAGATGAGGTGAGGAAACTCAAGTTTTCTCAAAATGCCAAGACATTCATTCTAGGAATTTCTACAACTAGGGGCTACTCATACATGTTTTCTAGATACCATTTCATTTGAGCCCACAGAAAATTTAATGAGAAAAGTTTCAACAACACCATCATCATTTCCTTCAAATACCAATGAGAGAAGGAGAAAGCCTTTCTCTCCTAACAAACCAACAGATTCTCATGCCTTCAGTCCATGGTGGAGCCTCCTTGAGGCAGATGAAAAGAAGGTAAGAGTTGATTATCTGACTTAGTCACTAGGCCAAATCCTGGCTACCCACTAGCTTTTGTTCAAAAAGTGCTGCTCCCAGGAGGTATGAATACTAGGCACAGTTCACACAACTTTGTGTACTGGAAAGTAGGTAGGAGGCGTCAGTGTTTACCTGCAGTGGTTCCAACTCCAGTTATTCCGCTTTCTCCAGGGGAAGTTGTGACTGCTAAGAGAGAAAACACATCCAAGGAGCGTGGAATGAACCACGGTGAACCAAAAGGGACACGAATCATTGTATCACTGCCAGAAGTCTCAAAGAGGAGTCCTTGGGTACTACCAACTTAGCAGTGCGGGCAGTTTCCAGGGGCTACTGTTGTACCAGCGTCCACCCCAGAGGTACGTGCATCACAAAAGAATGGGACTCTTCACAGTGGCTAAGTTAAACAGGGCACCTCCATGGGTATGTCTCCACGCACCCAGAAATGGATTCACTTGCCATAACCACAATCTCTTCTCAGAGTGATGATAAATCAGCTCTATTTTCTTGCTTTCAACAAACCATAACAAGAAATAATGCCTTCAGTTTGAGGTACTTCTGCCTGAATTTGATTTGTTAAAAAAAAAAAACAAAACTGGTTTTGCCAAACCTCACCAGCTTCCCCCCCCCCCATTGTAGCAAACCCTGCTAAGAGGTACAAAAAGAATGCAAGGTTTGAATGTCCTGGCAGCTTGGAATGTCCAAGCACTTTCTACATGCACGCATAGGGCCTGGTTCCACAGAGCTCTTTTCTAGTTCACATACGTACACACATGCGTATGCCCACACCCACTGAAAATATTGTGGGTTACAGCTAAAATGTTAGTGATATTCAGAACAGTGTAGAAAAATTTCATCCCACTCCCAGATTGAAGCAGTCAAGAAGTTTCCAACAATTTTCCCCCTGATTCTAGAGACTGAACCCAGAGTCTCATGAATGCCAGGTAAGTGCACTACCACTGAGTTATATCTCCAGCCCTTTGTTACACTGCATATTTGTGGTAGGTAGGGCTGGCCTGGTATGTGGTGTCGGGGATCAAACCACGGTCCTTGCCCTTTGCCTAAGCTTGCCTAAGCAGCCACTTTAGACTGCTGAGCTGTCTTGCTGGCCCTTATACTGCATTTTGAGGCAGGGTCTTGCTAACTTACCCAGGTTGGCTTCAAATTTGTGATCCTCTTGCCCCAGTCTCCCAAGTAGCCACTATACCCAGCTCAGAGTTATTTCTAATAACCAACCTACTTTAGTTCACTTGGAACACCCCTAAACAAAAATGCAAGTTTTCTCAACAAAAGTTTATCAAGCAGTCCCAAGCACTAGCATCCCAAATCGTGGAGTAATATATTCTCACCTGTTTTTGGTCCAGTCCCAGTAGTACCAGGCTGCTCTGGGGAAGTTGTGGCCTCTGAGAAAAGAAACAGGAAAAGGATGAAATGTGGACCTTTGGAACACGAGGAGGAAACACCACATCAGGCGGCATTTTGCACTACAGCCCTCTTGTGGTTTATATCCAATGTCCTTCAAATGTACTGCATGCACTCGCAGATGGGTCTTGGGGAGTGACTGGGTCACGCGGCCATGGTACTCATTAGAAGATGAGCCCACTGATGGGGCTATAGCTAAATATGATGCTGGGAGAGGAGGCCCCTTCAGAGGAGGTGGGGTCATGGGGGTGTGGCCTAGCTAGCTGTCTCTTCTCTGCTCCCTCAATCTATCTCTCTGTCTCTGTCTCTCTCAGCTTCCCGGCTACCATGCCATGGACTATTCTCTGCAATGCCCCTTTGCCAAGCCGCTCTGCCAAAAGACCGTGGGCTGAAATCTACAAATTCATTAGACTTGTCAGCTTTGATTGTGTCTCAAAAACAAGGACGTAACTAAGACAAGCCTCAAAAGACATATGACATTCGAGGTTACATATAAGACATTTCTTTTTTATCAATCTACCTGGGTTCAGAACTTCTAGATATAATGGTTGCTCTTGAAAATTCCCCAGTGATGATTAAAATGCACAGAGAGCATTACTTCCCCAATTAATGTCAGAGGCGCCAGTGTGGCCCTGAAGCACAGGGCTGGGAAGCCCTTTCCTAAGGACTATCTCTGAAGAAAATGGAAAATAACTCCCTTATATTGCGTGCCCCAGGTTGGCCTAGAACAGATGTACTGTTACTAGGTTTCCCTTCCTAGGGTAAAAATAGGGCTTAAAATCACTGGCTCCCTTCAAGGGACCTATATCTCTGGTGTGCTAGAATAAAGAACAAAAGTACAGTTCTGCTACTGAGAACTAGAGCCTCTGATATAATATGGGGTATTTCCACCATCACTGCTTTTGTGAAGTTTTCCAGTGGAGGGAAATAGAAAAAAATAAACTACTACTTATTTTCGTTGTAATCAAGTATAACTAAATCCTAGGGAGCTGGAAGGTATGTGGCATGCTCCTGCTCTCTCTCCCTGACCCAGGAGCAGAAGGAAGGTTTCTGGGAACAGAGGACAGCCTGACAAAGACATCTGAAAGCCCAGAATTTCCAAGCAGAAGAACTACCCTGGTTAATAACATAATGTGGGTCTACAAAAAATACAGGCTTTTCTGTCATATGCCTGTCCATTTCTTATTCATGGCAGCGAGGGGACAGAGAAATAAGAGAGCTCCAGGCCCAAGGCTGAAAAATCCCACCTCCTGGTGGTCCAGCTCGTGTTGTCCTACTAACTCCTGATGAAGTTGTAGTCTCTGAAAAAAACAAAAACTATAAGCTGTAAAGACTGGACAGGATAGCTTGGACTCTCATACAAATGTATTCCGAAAGAACCATGTTAAGAATTCTGACCCATGTTGGTAGTTCCAGGTTCTGAGGTTTTGCCAGAGATTCCCGCAGTAGTCCCTGAAATAAGAGGAGGTTTGTAGTCAGTTGGTCAGTTTGCTGCCCTTGGTGAAATAGACTTAAGCTCTTAAATGAGAAAGGGTATCTTGTTTTTCCAGTATACCAATACATTTATTTATTGGGGCTTTCTAGTTTTAACAATTTATTTTACCATTCATCTATTCACACCTACCTGCCTACTTTGAAGAGTTATCTGCCTATTTTAATGGCTATTTGTCTTATTGTAATAAATTTCTTTTTATTTAAACATTCACCATATACTCTGATGACACCTTATTTCTATGCAGTACATTGTTCCCTTGGCAAATACATAGAGGGAGTCCATCACCACTGAGTGCCTCTTGTTAGGTTCAGTTATGGGGAAATAGATCTGCACCCAAACCTCCCACTGAAGCTCAGCAGATGGGCCCCAGCATGCCCTGATAACAGACATAAGGAGGAAACACTGTCTGAACTTCAATTTGGAGAACTTTGATGCTTCAGGAAAGATTTTGAGAGGAAGCTATCAGAAAACACAGATAAGGCCTCAACAGAGCTCACCTGTGATTAATCTACTGCTTGTCTCACGCTCTTCTACAGAAGTTGTGGCCTCTGAGAAGAGGAAAATAAGATAGAGCTTATTGGGGAAGATACTGTAGTTCTACACAGGGTGACCCTGAAGTAGAAATCTCATCACAGATGGGCTCCTGGAAGGTTCCCCCCATACCTTATTTTTTTATTGTTTATTTATTTTTTAAAAAAAATTTATTTGTGTGTGTGTGGCCAGTTCAGCCCACCAGGGGGCGGGGCTGGCTAGCATGTGGTACTGGGGGATTGAACCGTGGTCCCTGGGCTTTGCTAAGCTTGTTCCAAATAGGTGCTTTAGACCACTGAGCCATCTCACCAGCCCCTCCCCATACCTTATTGACTCAACTGTGTTGGCAATGGCAGTGGCGACAGTTGTCCCACAGACTAACCTAGTGATGGCTTGTTATGGTTTGTGTCTAGTTGTCCCCCCAAAGCCTCATGCAGTCATGGGCTGGACTTCTAGAGTTTGTGATTAACTCATGATCCACTGGGATTATGGATGATCCAAGGCCGGGATTACTACTGGGATTATGGGTGTGAGTGTTACACCCAGCCTGAGGCAGATAGCCTGAATGTAACTAAGAGAGACAGAGAGACAGACTTGCTCTCTGTTGCCATTGTTGCTGCTACACTTCCCATTTGTTCTCTGCTCTTTGCCACCACCATGAAAGGTTGCTCTCTGCCATGTGCCACTCTGCCTTAGAGCTAGCCAAGTATGGAGCTAAATAAACCTTTCCTTCCTTCATTTTGGGTGTCAGGTGTTTGTCCCAGCAATGAGAGAAGAGTAACTGAGACATGGCTGAAAAACAAAGGGTCTGCATTCATCTCCTAAAGATCTACCACCAGGAGGAATCTTAGCACATGTATCTCATTAGAACAACCCTTTCAGGGACCAGGGATATAGCTCAGTAACACACTGCCTGCCTGGAAACTGCAAGGTCCTGAGTTTGATCCAAAGAACAAGCCTTTCACTGCTTCCTGATGAGATGAGAATCTTGTGTTTCCTGTGAACCCATGTTATTAACAAAGCAGTTAAAACCCTAGTGTTCCTAAACGGAGGGCCCCGCCCATGGAATTCCATCTATTCCATGACATGGAGCAAGGTGGCCTTCTCCCAAGCTCACCTGTCAGAATCCCAGTTGTGTGGCTTCTCAGAGTCGTGGTGGTGCCTATGGGGGGAAGAGACCAGAAAAGTATTTTAATGCACCCAGAGCTTGGAATGATACCTGCTGTCGGTGCTTCATTAATTAAGCCTTTATGAGGATTCGATGCCTCTAGCACTCACGCTGCTTTCCCCTCTTCCTAGAAACACATTCCTTAGCTCCCCCAAACCTTAGTAATGTGTGTGACATCATGGGAGAAGCCCTCTCACCAACTCAAAGCACAATTTTGCAAAGTGACAGATGTGAGTCTAGATGTGGGTGTGAGTGCTTCCCCAGAATACGCTCAGCATAAGAAAATACTAAAAGCAACTGCACGCTATTCACCAGGAAAGGCGAGCCCGTGGAGAGCCACAGCCTATGCCGACTCACCGCGAACTTCCCAGCCTCACCTGCTCTGGATGCGTTCCCAAGAGTGCTGCTGCCTTGTGCCACAGTTGTGGCCTCTGTAGGGGGAAAATGATGGATGTTGAGGCTTGAGGACTTAGGCTGCTGGGGAGAAGATTATGCTGCTGTTCGTCAAAGAGGGTCTTCCAAGGGTACTATGATCCTGAGTAAGTATGAAGTCCTTCTTATGAACCTACTTGCAGGGAAACTTCTCAATATATTGACAGTCCTAGAGAATTCCCCTGTAACACCTCACACAAGAAAAACAAAGGGCTCATCACTGACACTATGTGGCCGCGTGCCCTTGAATCAGGGGAAGAGCTCTCCTGAGCACCTTGGCCAGGGAGGGGACTGGAGTCTACAGGCCACCAGCGCATCCCCCCGCCCCCATCACTGTTGGTGCTGCAGCTCCCCACCCAGCTCATACAGCACAGAAAGCCTGCTTACCTTCCAGACCCAGGAAGACAGAAAACAAAGTGAACGAGAGAGTCGTGGCTCTAAATTTGACTCCTCAAGGACTTAAAAATGTTTCCTTTTGAGGCACAGACTCACTATACAGTTCAAGCTGGCCTTGAGCTCACTGTGTAGCCCATGCCGGTCTTGAACTTGCAATGATCCTCCTGCCTCATTCTCCTGAGTGCTGCGATTACAGGCGTGCACTACCACGCCTGGCTCAAATGTTTAAAATAGCAAGACTCTCAAGTGGTAAGATTTAGTCCTGCTTCCTAGCTTGGACCTGTGACCTGCTGCCCCCAGGTGAAGCGTGGAGGTACCCATAACAAAGGAAAAGAGCTTCAATCAGTACATTTCTTCATTCCACTAATACTTTTCATGAATTTCTGTCTGTGTAACATTGTGTTAGGCCCTTGGGTTTTATCAGCGAGCAAAAATTTAAAGCTCTCTTCCGTAATGTAGCTCACACTCTAGCAGCCAGAGACCAGCAGTAAACACAAAGCAAATAAGCAAAGTGATTTGACTCCTCTCTAGAGCGTGTGGCATTTGTAATTTCACAGCATTAATGACTGAACAATTGTATAATCATCAGGGATCATAGCTATGATTCTGGAGTTCTACTAGAAGTTTTCAGGGAAATTCCAACCCTGCAAAAGAATGAATTGGCCACAACAGAAGTATGTATTAGCAGATGCAAACTGCCCTCTGAAATGTCTCTTCTGCAGTTCTTCTAGGAATATCAGAGTTAGTGTTAATAAAAACAAGGTGAGCTTCTGCCTTTGTTCTGCTCTGAATCCAATTCTGGTGGTACCAATACCTTTTTGTGAAAGTTGTAGTCTCAGGGAGCAGAGGGTATAACACTAAGTTCTAGGGATTCAGGACTTTTGCTGTGGTGTTGTGAGCACAATCCTATCAAGAAGCCATTTCCTCCGATTGGCTACAGAGATGGCATTGGTGCTATTTTCAACTACCGATATTAACAGGTGATGTTTGGACAGATGTCTCAGAGCTCAAGCACTGCCATGACGCTTAAGAACAAGTGGCAACACACTAAATCCATCATGGAAGCAGGTACCTGGCCTCAGAGCTAACATTCCAAAGGATAAATCACAGGCATCTTTTCAGGTCACCTCCTTGGACCGATTGTTCACAGCCGCATTGCCAACAGCTATTTCTGTACGCTAGATTTCACGGCTGTTTTCTTTCTCCTTGTACGCCTCCCTAGAGTTCCAGGAGTGAATACAGAGGGAGGCCAAAGGAAGACGAAGCTATGATTGTTACCACCTGTCACACCTGAGCGGCTGCGTCCGTGTCATCTATAAAGCATGCACACAGCACGTCGCACTCATGCGAGGATAAAACGTAGCTTATGTTCCATTTATGTGCTATTACCTGTGCTGGAAACTTCTGAAGTAGTTCTGACATCAGGAAAAATGACGGTGGTCTCTATTAAAAAAAAAAAAAATTCATGAACTTTAAGTAGGAACCTGTGGTCAAGGGGCCTAACAGAGGCAAATCCAGAGCGATTAACAATTTGCTCAGCCATGAGTAGTGAGTCTCCTCAGCCTTCGTGTCCCGTTCTTTGCTGTACTCCCAAGCAAGGAAGCAGCAGAACTCAGTCTCCAAGCAGTGCTCACTCACCTCTGGACAGCACTGCACGCGTGGTCCCTGTAGCGGTTGTGGCCTCTGAGAGAGGAAAAGAGGAAAAAAACTTGAGTTACTGCGTTCTGCGAAGGCCCTGCCCCGGGCTCCTCGGTGTGCTCGCTGATCTACCTGTGATGTAACTTCCAGTTTCAGGGGCTTGGCTTGAGACACTACCTGAAGTTCCTGCAATTAGGAAGAAATGGCCATGCTGTGATTTGAGAACTGCCTATTTAAAAGCCTGCTTTTCTTACCTGCCTTAAGAAGCTCCTAGGCTGGCCAGATAGCTTGGCAGATTACAGCACCTGTTTACACAGACACAGGGGCCAGGGGTCCGACCCCCCAGCCTGCTGTGCTGGCCCTGCCCCAGGGGCATGCAAAGACTAGGTGTGGTGGTGCATGCCTACAATCCCAGCACTTGGGAGACTGAGAAACAGGAGGATCACTACAAGTCTGATCTGTGTAATGAGACCTTGTAGATCCTGTTCTAAATACATTAAAAAAGAAAAAGGAAGTCTTTGAGATTTATTTATTTGGTATGGGATTTTACTATGCTGCTCAGACTCCTAGTGATCCTCCTGTCTGAGCCTCCCCAGCACTGGGATTACAGGCATGCCCCACCTCGCCTGGTTTCAGTGCCCACTGTGGTTCCAGGGCTGGCATTGCATGCAGTACCAGAGATCAAACTTTGGTCCTTACATGGGTCAGGCAAGTACTTAGACCACTGAGCTATCTCCCCACCCCCCTTCTTTGAGATTTCTTATATCAAGAATGAATTTGTATGTTTCCCGTGTAGTAGTTCTTTTTCCACAGCACAATTTTGGACAT